TTTTTTTTAATATGATAAGTTTTTTATACTTCTTTTGCTAGCTTAATTAATTGGTAAAATCCTCAAATTCACTCCCCCTATTTGAGGGAGTGGATTTGAGGGGGAGTGAATTTGAGGATTTTGCTTAATTAATTAATTTTTATATAATAAAAATGATATAATTATAATATCAAATATAATTATAAATTTACAATTATAATATAATATTAAATGAATATAATGTTGTGTTAAATAAATAAATACATATAATATTATAAATAAACCTTTAAATAAAAAACTTAATTATATAATAACACAATATATATTGTAATCTTATAACATTACATGATATTATAACATTATATTATAATTATAGTATTTTCATTTATACAATTTGTCTAATTATTAGCTTATTTTGACTTAGTATATTTTCAACGTATATTTAATGTATATATAATCTGTTTTTGTTTTTTTTAACAGCTGGGGTCACTCCTTTTATCATTGCGGGGATTGAATTTAGTAAAAGGATTGTAAGTACCTTCTAATTAATACTATGAGACTTTGATAGATTGAATTTAGTAACATCAACTTTGGCCCTAAAGAGCTGATAAAAAAAAAAAAAAAAGTTTTGGCCCTAAAGAGTACTTAGATCATATGAGGGTCTCCTATGAATGAAATTAAATTTTTTATTCTATATATGAATAGGTAGCACAAAGAAAATGCCAAGTTTGTGGAGGGTCAGGGCTTGTTCTGAGGGATGGTACATATTTTCGATGTCCTGGATGTGGTATGTTATACACTTTAATTATTATTTTTTCTCATTTCTAACAAACATTTATGCGTTATTTCATAATTAAATCAACCTTAACTTTATTTGATTCAATATATTATATATGTTGCAGGTGGGTTTCTTCCATGGCAATCATGGAAAAGATTCTTCACTGGTTAAGACAATTGCAATGGGATATCAAGTTTGATAAAGAAGAACGTTATTCTTTATTGCATTACTTATCATATCATCAGATGAACAAACGAAACTATGTATTTCTAAATAAGTGTTTGAACATTTTCACCAACACATACCAATATTATTCCCTCCCAATGAATTCACTGGTTTCACCAGGATTGGAAATATTCCCTGGACTGGACCAATTCTATGTATAGAAATTTCAAACAAAGATCATCCTGATGCAGCACCAAAAATTTGATATCATCAGCTTTATAAAAACATATCCTCCAACAGAAGATTATTAAGTCATACCAAGCCAAAAACTCATGTTAAATAAGAACTGGTTCTTGTTAGTCAAATTTTTGTTAAGTGGGAAAATTGGCATGTTAAACCACGTGACAGACTCAACATTGACATTCATAGCGGGTTTGTGTGTGAGAGAACGTGTTAAGTGAGAAAATTACAGATCAAGTATAAAAATAAAAACCTTGTGGGTTAAATATAAAGAAGGTCACTGCACCTATTATCAATTGGTTTTAGGTTGAATGCAAGTCTTGTATTGAGTTCATATGCACAATTTTCACGTGATATCAGAGCCCAGATTTCACATAGTATCAAAGTCCAAATTCTATCATGAAAAGCCCGTTGTTAGTTTACCTGACAGGACACGAAGTTATACCGAACCTGCATTTAAGGAAGCTTGTTAACTCACTTGACAGGACTTGACATTAACATTCATAGTGGGCATGAGGGGCGTGTTAAGTGAAAAATCCTATATAAAGTATAAAAATAAGAAACTTGTATAAAAATAAGAAACTTGTATAAAAATAAGAAACTTGTATAAAAATAAGAAACTTGTATAAAAATAGAAAAGTCACTCCACCTATTTCCTATTTTAGGTTGAATGTAAGTCTTATATTAAACCATATGCATAATTTTCACAATTTTCATAAAATCCGCCCGCAGAAATTTGATAGCTGTTCTTCTAACAGATATATACCATCTATAATTCAACAGAAACTGGAATGCACAGTATCTAGTTTTCTCATAGACAAAACTCTAAAAGTCCCAACTGTACTTCTTCTCATAGACAAAACTCTAAAAGTCCCAAGTGCCTTCAGCCAAAAGACTGAAATTGTTCTCTAGAAACTAGAATTAGAACCTCCCTCATCACAGCACCGTGAACAACATACCAGGGAAATTGTTCACAGCCGTTACTTAATTAATTCCCAGAAAAATGAGTAGAACAATACAGGTAAGCACATATTGTTCTTACTTAAAATTGCTCAGGAAGATTAAATTCTACCACACCCTACGTTAAGTGACAACTATGCATCTAACTGGCAGCAGCCATACAAGTCTGCCTGAGCTACACATGGTAAGCATTCCGGTTTCCCTCTTGGTATATATATATATATGTATCTGCTAAACATCATTGAAACCTCCGGAGGCTCCTTTCTTCTTCATCCTTTTTTCCCTTTAAGAAAATGGTGGCTCGAGTTTCTTGGGCTGATCTTCCCATGGAAATGCTCTCTTCCATTGCCAAAAGGCTTGAGGACAGGCAAGACGTTCTCCATTTTCGAGCTGTTTGTTCATCCTGGAGGAAGACAGTCCCTTTGCCAAAAAAGTCCTTTCCTTTCTCAATGAAGCTCCCGTGTGATACTGAGGAACTATCCAATCCTTATGCCTCCTTCATTTTATCACAGTCGAAGGTTTTCCGTCTGGAAATAGATGCCGCTGATGGGTCTGGACGGAGAAGTTGGTTGGTGAAAGTACGAGAACATGGGGACGACGGAACCTTGTGTTTTTTAAACCCCTTCTCCATGTATCCCTTGAAGAAGTTTCCAGAGTCCCTTCCGAAGCTGCTCGACACCCGGTATTTCCGGATTTCGGAGGTCACCAAGGTTTTCTCTATTGAACGGATTGTCGAACAGATCAACGACAAAGAGAGCAACGACACCGAGTATGAGGACGTGGGGTGGATTTACAAAGCGGAAATCTGTACGAATTTCCGAAGGAAACCTTACATTGCAATGATCAAGAAAGGAGAACTCTGGTACATGAAGGGAGGGACGGGTTACTGGTGTCTCCTCGATGAAGACGTTGAGTTCCGCGACATTATCAACTTCAACGATACCTTCTACACTATAGATATTTACGGTGTTGTTTCTGGATACAATCAGGGTTCTATGGGTCTGATTGAAGTCTACCCTCGTCCATCCAGGCAAATATGCGAGGGTGAAAGATACTTGGTAGAATCTTGTGGGGAACTTTTCTCTGTCCATAGGGAATTCGGTGAGTGCATCGGAAAGGTGCACTACGACGACGACATGGATTGTTTCTATAAGGAAGAAGGAGTTACTGAGATTCCGGTTAATTTCAGGGTGTTCAGAGGTGATCAGAACGACCTTGGGTTCGAGGAGAGGTGGAGGGAGATTAGGCATCTTGGGGATAGAGTGTTCTTTGTAAGCCATGATTGTTCTTTCTCGTTTTCTGCTCGAGATTTCCCTGGCTGCAGAGGGAATTGCATAATCTTCGTGGATGAAATAGAAGAGCCATTCGCAGAGGATTGCAATGGGAATGATGATGAAGAGAACGAAGATCCTGAGGAACTAAAGAATGGAAAGGTGGGATTGTTCTTCATGGAAGATCGAAGACATGCATCTATCATAGATTTCCCTGAGTACCTGAAAATATTCTGGCCACCTCCTTCCTGGCTGAGGTCAAATCCGAGTCCATCAGGTCACTGAGCAAGTAGTGTTGTAAGTTCCAAATTATTACTCACTTGCGATTTGATCATTACATTATGAATGTTTCATGTTGATGTTTATTCTATGTGCAATGTCTATAATTTGATCATAATGATGAATTTTGTCCTTTGATTCAAGAATCATACATCCGTTGCATCGATATGTCATGTAGGTTGTTGCTTGTGCCTAAACATGAGCTGCAGCTCGATTGAGCTGTTCTAGATTGTGTTTAGAGCATTCGGACAGCCTGGAAGATCATTTTGCTGTCATTAAGTCATGTCCTTTGAGTTGAGTCTAGTCTGATGTAATTTAGGACATAATCAAACACAAAAGAGTGGAAGGTTCTAACGTGTTGGATTCTTTTAATACATGTTATCAGTAAGATCAATAGATCATTGCCTTACTGTGCACGCGCACAGCTGACATAGAAGAATCACCTGGATTACTGGAGAACAAATTGGTTGCCGCATCTGGAGTACTAAATTTTATAAAGATGCCATATATTCTCTTCACTCCATTTATATGTCTTGATTTTGTTTAACATGTGACATGCATCCAGTGAACTGTTCTATTGCCCTAATAGCAACCAAACAGCTGCAAATTAAGTTGATGCTGCAATTACTACATTCTGTGCTTGAGCTGAAAACGTTAATGTGTCGTGTATTATAGCTTGACCTCCATGATTAATCAAGAGGTTAGCTTTTGCTGCTAAGCAATGGAATTCCTTTTTGGAGTGTTGATTCATATGATTTTGAAGCTATCAGGTTCCCTTTACATAATAACTGCTTGCCTTTTGTTTTGAATTAAATCAAAGTCTTTTAATTATGCTGTTTACATCATATTGGCTGGCAGGAAAAGTTACACAATATGCATGCTTGGAGAACTTTTCCTTCTCTTTCTGTTTCTTTACTATGAAATCATAGACTGCAATCATATGCATGTTTCTTTGCCTGGTTTGACATACATTATAGAAATGGGTTGTTTTCATAGAGAATCATAACGGAGGCTGCAATACAAAAGTTAAGAAGATAAAAATGGCTGATCAGCAGTTAATTACTATACATCATTAGTAGCATCTAGCACTCAATTCAATTTAAAGCTATCTGATTCTGAAGCAACCTTACATTAGATTTTACTTTAATTTAAAGCTATCTGATTCTTAATTAACTTTGGTCATTTTGATGCCACTGTCTTGCAGGCAGAGGAACTTCTAGCAGCACTTCCAACAGAGAAGACCTAAATTCTGTTTACCTTTTGTGGAAGTATTTGGAAGCTTTATGAATAAATAAATATTGCCTGGTGTTGTTTTGTTGTTTCTATATGTAAAGAGCAAGTTGGAAGTTGTTCTTCCACCTTTCTCAGTGTCTTATTTGTTGTTTAAGGAGTCTTTTAGGACCTATGTTTTGTCTTGTGTATGTTGAAAGGTGGGAGCTTCTGCACCACCAAATTATGATGGTTTGCTGTATCTGTAAGCAGGATGGTTTTTCTGACTCTGATGCTTGTCATCTCTATTTTAAGGATTTAGCAGCTTTTTCGCTGCTAAACTTATAATATGCTGAAATATCAGTTTTATCTGTATCTTTTTTTGCAAAGGAAACAAGATTGGACCACATATGAGTACAATCTTAATTTTGTTCTATCAGGAAAACTAATAACATTGAGGCGGCTGTAGACTGATGAAATGTGGTAGTGGAAATCTAGCATCAAAAGTCTGCCCCAGTATTGTTGACATCTAGACCTTCTTTTCATACATGGTAAGTCTTCCTTCCCAGTTCAAAGATTTCCAGGATTTATTGATACTATTCCATAGATTTAAGGATACAAATAGATGACCTACTGCAATTTCTTTTCTTGTTATTCCATCCTTGTGTTACTGCAAATCATCTATATGCAGAAAGTGTCAAGATTTCTCTGAAATGCTTTGCTATCTGTCTCTTGATGGAAATGGTGTCGAAGATTATCTTCCTGATTCCTGGTAGATGAAACTGATTATGATATGATAAATCTTCAATGCACACGTCATCCATGATGCAAGTTTTCATTGATTATGCACATGATGCTTTAACAAATTCTTCATTGATTCTCCTTGTCCCTATCAGTTAGACTTTGCAATTTCAATACCTTCAATTTCCTTAATGATCTTTGTTTTTTTTTTTTTTTAGTGTCAAAAGTCGTATGAGATCATTACCTTTGAAAATTCAATAGCTTTGGACAAAGACTTCCAGGCTAATGTAATTCTCATATCAATATTTGTTCATTTTCCCCTCTCTACTGAGACACACGTTGCAGAAAGGTCTGACTTCCCTCTTAGAACATCTGATTGGTCTCAATTCCTTTTGATATTCAACTCTAATTGTTTTTTAGATTAGACTGCATTAATTAAGGTTGAAGAAAGTTGGTGTTGCAAATGGCAGCATTAATTTTGGTATTTTGGTATTTTTGTTAGGTATTTAACAAGTTATGATAATACATAACAATTTGCCTTACTTACAGCGAAATATGAAAGCAGCTCAACCAAATTTCAACTCTTAGGCAAGCTAATTTGGCAATTAGTATGGACGTTGACGTAATGCAAGACCCCAACGTGTAGAGACTTTTTCCAGTCCACTAAATTGGTGGTGGGATTGCAATGCTAATCTCCTAATGGGACCCTTCAAGGTCGGCAAAAGCAAGCACATGGGAATCAAAAACCTAACTCTGTTTTCTTGCTGTATTAAAAATTTGAAGACTAAGAGGTGAAAATGAAAGCAAACAATTTTGATGGAGATATGTTTCACTACATTTGCCTTTTTTTGCTTTAAACCTTCCAACAGGCTAGAACTGGCAAAGATTCCTCATGCATCAACTTTGACAATCTTGATGAAGGAATTCCATCAAAATGCAAGGGTTGAAAATTGAGAGAGCCAAAAGCCCCAATAGAATTGAATGCCATTACAGGAGGGCAAAGGTGAGGAAAGTGAGAAAGGTACGTTTTAGTACGTGTAAAGGAACAATTGGGATCAGATCAGGATGTTGAAAAGTTGGCTTAAAACCGTGTGGGTCCATCTCCCCCTTCTGGGACATTGTCCACCCTTGGACTGCCTTTTTACATGCTGCCTCTCTCCCTCTTTACCAAAAAACAGAGGAAAATTAATCAAATCAGACGAAGATGCCCCTTCTTCCAATCATGATTAATAGAATTTTCTTTTTCTTTGCAATGAAAAAGCTAATTTCAAAAATCGCATGCTTCGATCTAATGGTATTGAACTCTAAATTAGAACTGTTTATTTTTAGTAAATTATATGTTTGAATTTTTTATTCAGTGAATTATATGTTTAAATTTCATAAAAAAATTATGAATTAAAATTATTCATTTTAAACGAGTTGTATGTTCAAGTTTCACGAAAAAAAAAAAAAAGAAGAAGCTAATTTCGCAACAGCACATGGATTTCCTATCGTGCAATCCAAACTTACCATCTGAATTGCATTATTCAAACGGCAAATTAAAAACTGTTAGATGTGTTGTCTCTATACCAACCAAAAAAAAAAATCTCGTCTGATGATTGTGATTGGCCAACACTTTTTTAAATAACATTAAAGAGGCACACTAGTTTTTTATTTGATTTTTTAGATTGTAAAATAAAAATTACTAAATAAAAAAAATTTTCGAAATTAATTTAAAGAGACTTATCAATTTAATAATTTATGTTGTATAATTTAAAATAAATAATATTATTTTAAAACTATATTATAAATTGTGTACCAAAAAGAGTACATAAAAGGCTCAATCTTCAACTTATGGGTTTAGGGCTAACATCGAGCAGAGAACTTGGGAGTGCATTACAGACATCAGTAATGGCTAAGATTAGGAATATTAGTTGCATACCATGATATGAGAAATGCCCTGAGAATTCAGTTGTTAGAATTTGGTATATCTGGAGAGGACTGCTCCTTCAAAGAAAGTTGGCGGTGACTGTGAATTAAAGAAACTGGGAAACTCTCCAAAGAACTTAAAATTTTGCTGTATCCTGAGTTTTTTTTTTTTTATAAGGACAATGATTAGAGATTAGTACGTTAGAGGTGTTAGTGGAGGTATTGAACCCGAGACTTGAGAGTGCAAACCACAGACGGCCCATTGAGACAGCAAATAATCATTGCACCACGGCAGGTGAAAAGCTTATCCTGAATTAATTATAACGTATTACATCATTATTTTTACTGTTAAATAAATTAATATAATTAATAAAATAAAAATTTTTTTTAATGATGTAACACGTTATAATTAATCAAAATACTTATCAACGGTATCTTTGGAATACAGCAAACTGGCTCCAAAGAACATGATATTGGGTCAAAGAACAGTACATGGTAAATGCACATATGTCAAATTTACAACCTTTCAGTACAATAGGTTATATTATCTACCACGAAATGTATGACTTTGACTTGTCAACAGTGCAACATTCAATTGACCCCAATTTGAAATACTCAAAGGATGGCTATTGACCCCTGAACTACTCTTGTCTAAAGTTTGCTCAATTAAATAAAATTCATCTCAACAAATCCTGAATTAGATAATGCAAGCAAGGACAGTCTTTATGTCCTGAAAGTCGTTAATGCAGTAATATACCAGGAAGAAGACAGAAGACCGTGCTAGTTGGGGGGGTCTTTGTGATGCTCTTTGATTAAATTAGTACTATAATGCAGAAACAGAAAAATACTGTGAAACTTAAGGGTGAACTTTTTTTAAAGTAGTAGTTATATTGATAATATTAATATTTAATTTTTTTCAACCAACGAATGGTTGGATCAAGTGACAAGCGGCTTGTTTCAGTTTAAGCAAGATTTCAAGTTCGAAACCTTGTGTATGCAGTTGCCTTCGTTGGGAGACCCACCCACCATTCTGGTGCGCCACAGCTGGTCGAATCCGGAGTCCGGACGGGAAACCAAAAAAAAAAATATTTAATTTCTTTCAGAGAAGGGAGAGCATTAAATTTGGGATTCGAAACTTTATATTATCATAAATGTCATCAATTTACTTTTGAAAAAAAAAAAAAGAAGAAGAGGTAATCACTGATTGACTTATGGGCAAATTTCATTAACAATTTTTGGAGAATGAATGCTGTCTCAAAGGGTGTATCATATGCCTTCTGAAAATTGTCACTTGGTGTTTAGTCTACTAGACTAATAAATACATAATTTTAGAATAACGTGTTATTCAAAAAGTGAAAAATATAATAATTGGAAGATCTCGTCTCATGATGAATATTCTGTTCTTTTTTCTTAAAAAAAGAAAGAAACATTTTTTTTGGTTTTTTTTTCTTATTTAACATCAAGGGTACTGGTCAAATTTTGTATATCTCAATAATAATTTTTTTCATGATAATTTCATGAGGCAAGTCCAACATAAATATTGTATATTCAAGATATTTTAATTGTATATTTAATTTATAAGATAATACAAAGCGAGATTTATTTATCAATAAATATAATATTAGAATTATTTTTTTAATTTATTTATGCAGTTCATACTGTTCCATGTTCCGTGCCAACTTGTCAATTGTCATTTTGTTTCAATGGCAGGAAAGTAATTTTTGGAATGAATGGTGTCTCAACCTGTGATTTTGTTGAGTAAACTCCATTATAAAGAGGAAGGATGGCACACGAGGGGGACCATGTGATTGTAGAGACAAACTGGGAATACCCCTCAGTATGATTCTTGGAGTTGGAGCAAACAGAGCACCAAATCTGGTGGGGAGTGGGATCTAAACAAGGTATGAGGAAAGAACCCATTTTTATTTTCATTGAAATCGAAAAGGGTCTTCTTTTAGTTCTTGATTCTGCTATTTTTTTTGCTGTGTTTGATCTTCAAGTAAGTTTCTTTAGTAATTTGGTTGCTTATTTCCCTTCTATTTGCTTCTTCTAGTGGATAAAGTGTAGATATTTCTTTGTAAATCAGTTTATTTGGGTGGTAAGATTGTGGTGATTGGCTTTGTAGGTGGATTTAGTTCGAAGTCCAGTCTTTTTTTATTTTTTCTTTTTATTTTTTATTTTTTTTAAATTTTCTTTCTTTGAGCTGAGTAGAAAAATGGTTAGTTATAAATTTGTACAAAGATGTAATGTTTTGCAAATGATTTGTAAGTTCTTGCAGCTTTGCTTTGTACTGAGCTTTTTCCGGATCCCATCTCTCTCTGTCTCTCTCTCTTTCTCTGGGGGCTATGTAGAAATTTAGATCATTTTTCCATGATTAAACTTCTGAGTTGCGTTCTGGGTGCTATAGTGCTTTCTTGAGTTACTAGTTCATGATCTTAGTTATTCAAATCATTTTAATTGGAAAGTCATCGTTTTATCCTCCCACTTTTCATCAAAATAATTGTTCAGGGGACTTCCTTCTCTTTTCTTGAGTGTGGATCATATGGCTTGAACCCAATCCCCCAACAATTAGAGCAGATTGCTAAAGAAACATATCATTTATGGTAAAAAATTCATGCGTAATAACATCATATTCTATCAGAAAATTTAGTATGCAGCTTGAACTTGAGGCAGTTCTATCAGTCCCAGGTTAGAAGTTGCTTGTACGGTTTGTGGAAAATTTTTCAGAACTAGTACTTTGCTTGCCTTGCCTTTCTTACAACAGTCAATGCACTGCTGGTTTTGTTTGTACATTCATTCTGTGCCAATTATGCGATGTGACGTGTTGGCGGCTCAAACAAGCTGTAGTTTTACTTTCACCAATCTTATTAAGCCTTTAAGATACTGGATGATTTTGTTGACCTTCTTTGCATAATACGTTGATTGTTTTATTGATCCAGCAGCATTTGAACAAAGCAATCAAGGTCAGTTATTCATAATATCCTGGCTATCACTTGAGTTTGAGAATATTTTCTCAGAAAGTTTTTGTGGGGATTTCTCTGTGCAATTGTGCTTTCATTCAGTAGCAGTAAATGGAATATTTTTCAATGCACACATCTCAGAACCCCAAAATTTCGAACAAGTTCGTTCATCAGCCTGAGCAAGAACAGGAGTCCTGTTGCTGGCCCCCTGTTAAGAATGTAGGTCAGTACCACTCATACTCTGATGATGGCAGTGATGGTGGCGTGCACCTTCCAGCCAAGAATTTTGAACAGTATTGCACCCTTGAATCATCTACTGTTACAGGCAGCTACCCTGTTCAGAGTTCTTCATCTGTTGCCAGTATCACACCTAACAGCAGTCCAGTTTCACAGCCAATTTCCCAGCCTTACCCATCAGATGTGCTTCATTCCCCGGATAATACATGTGGCTCTCCAGTAAGTGGGTCATGTGTGACAGACAATGAGCATGACTTGGGGCACATGATAAGACAATTGGAAACTGCAATGCTAGGACCTGATCCAGATAACCTTGAGATACATAATATTGCAAGCACTGGTGAACCAGATCAAATCTCATTAGAGGCAGAGAAGTTGCAATATATGGTGGAGTTGATTTCCAGGGGTGACCTGAAAGAATTGCTTTGTGCTTGTGCGAAAGCCATTGAAAATAATGATATGTTTATAGCTGAAGGGTTAATGACACAATTACGTCAAATGGTGTCAGTTTCAGGTGAGCCAATTCAGCGCTTAGCAGCCTATATGTCAGAGGGGCTCATTGCTAGGTTGGCATCTTCAGGAAGTTCTATCTACAAAGCCCTGAGGTGCAAAGAGCCTGCCAGTGCTGAGCTTCTTTCGTACATGCACATACTTTTTGAGGCCTGCCCGTACTTTAAGTTTGGGTATATGTCAGCAAACGGGGCAATTGCTGAAGCCATGAAGCATGAAAGCAGAGTCCATATAATTGATTTTCAGATTACACAAGGAGCCCAATGGGTAACGCTAATTCAGGCTTTTGCTACTCGGCCAGTAGGACCCCCAATGCTTCGAATTACGGGCATTGATGATTCCACATCAGCTTATGCCCGGGGAGGAGGACTAGAAATAGTAGGTCAGAGGCTGTCTAAGTTTGCCGAGTCATGTAAGGTACCCTTTGAGTTCCATCCTGTTGCTATTTCTGGTGACAAGGTTGCAGTAGAAAACCTTGGCATTCAACCTGGGGAAGCTATTGCTGTAAATTTTCCCTTAGTTCTGCACCACATGCCCGATGAAAGTGTGGGCATCGAGAATCATCGGGACAGATTGTTGAGGTTGGTGAAAGGCTTGTCTCCAAAGGTGGTGACTCTTCTTGAGCAAGAAGAGAACACAAATACTGCTCCGTTCTTTTCACGTTTTGTGGAGGCAATGAACCACTACTTGGCTATCTTTGAATCAATTGATGTTACTCTCCCAAGGGACCACAAGGAGCGGATCAATGTTGAGCAACACTGTCTGGCTGGGGAGATTGTCAACATTATAGCTTGTGAGGGGCCTGAGAGGGTGGAACGACATGAACCTCTCGGAAAGTGGAAAGCAAGGTTTCGTATGGCTGGGTTTACCCCCTATCCATTGAGTTCTTATGTCAATTCTACACTAAAAGCTCTCTTGCAAAAATACTCTGACAAATATACACTTGAAGAAAGAGATGGAGCTCTTTATCTTGGCTGGAAGAACCAAGTTGTAGTCACTTCTTGTGCATGGAGGTGATAAGTGCTAACTGAGCAATAACTGCAGTAATGCTGGTATTAGACAGAGGTTAACCTTCATCGGGAAGTATATCATGTTCTTTTCTGAAATCTATGACTGTCTTTTCTTGTTTTGATAAACATCCATTAGGGATGCAATAAACTAGGGTGGTTTCAAGGATTAAATGTTACTTATCAGTGCTGCTGGTTAGCTGTTGCTTTTGTAACTTCTTAACGTACATGTTCTACATTCTCTAGAGTTATACGGGTAGCTATATTGGTGTTTCCTTTTTCTTTTCAGCCTCATGTTGGAAATGAAATATAAACTGGGAGGAGTATAGGTTGATGATTTGTTGCGTTGGAAAAATTAGAAATGAATCTTAGGGCTTTTTGTCTTAGAAGAACTGTGATTGATTTGTTTTCTACCTACACTGCATTTAGGCTTGCCCCTCAAAAACTGCACTAGAATGGTCTAATAGGCTAAAAAGAAGAAAGGTGACAATTCTTACAAATTCATTCCAAGAACTTGGTTTTACAATACTGTTTTTGGAAAGCAAATAAGATCTGTATTACAACCATATTTGTACAGACCCAAAAGTTAATGCAAACAGTGAGGGTGGGAACGAAGATCAAGTAAACTCTAATACATGTGGAGGAATCCATATTTGCAAATTGCTATTCAGGCTTTTTCTTTGCAGAAAGAGAAAACTGAAATTCTGCCCCTTTTTATTTCTTGTCATCTTCATGGCTAACAAATTACAAATCTATGGACCCGTTAGTATTCTTCCCATGCTCTGTGGATATGTGTAGGAAGAATGATTTAGAGGTGGGATTTCGACACCACGACCTTCACTTCGATTTTCTCTAGATCCATATTGGCTAATGCCACCATTTAGAACGCCATAATATGCTGTCAATGGGTTTGCTGTTGCTTGAACAAATTTGAAGCTGGAACTGCCAGTCTGAGATTGGCTTTGGACTAGTTCAGAATGCACTTGCCGGTGCTCATTAAAACTACTTTCAGGAGCAGAACTAATCCCAACCCCAAGATCAAGGCTAATTGAATCACTTTCTTCAGATCTAATCCTTGGTGGTCCATTCATAGCAGCCGGTCCTGCTGTGTCATGACTACTAGTCCTTGCAGTAGGTACCTCATGGTTGTGTTTTCCTTCATATGTGGTAATAACAGCTTTAGGATCATGCGATGCCCGCTCCACATGTTTCCTAACAGGACATCCAGCACTTGTGCACTTGTAATAACTCCTGCAGAGAAGATGAGGATCATATGGAACATTATACAAACATACAAGAGAAAAAAGATGTATATAAATCAATGAAAGACTACAGGATAATCCATGCAAATAAGAAGAAGTATGCGCACTGAAGTCTAAATCCTAAGCCTATATGTAAAGAAAATACAAACAATGCTTTGAATCAACTGAAGGGTAAACCCAAGTTTTATTTTTAATTTCCAATGAAGTATAAAGTATTTAAGGATTGAAAAGTACTCCCTATGGTCCAGAATCACAAACCACAATTGAATCTGTGCATCTGGGATCAACTCCCAGGCTCACTGTCATTTGTCAACAAATCAGATCATTAAGTAACATGACTAGCCAGACCAAGTATAGGTACCTCGGATTGGGATTCCCTCTCACAACTTTCTGTCCATACTTGCGCCACCGGTACCCATCATCCAGTATATCAACTTCACTTAGAGTCTGAACAACCACACGTGGCTCCCGGATTGGCTTTACCACAGGAGTGATATCAATCCCCCCATCCATCTTCCTGCTCAATGAAATTTGGTAGTGGATCGTTTAGCAAATAAGCAAAACAACACAAATAGAAACTAAACCTCCGATTGTAAGATATACCTCCGTTTTGAGAATGGGTCATCATCATCAACTTCATCAACATTATCATCAATTCCTGTAACAGGAGATAGCTCATGGTTACCATTTGGCTCAATGGTAGGAGGCATCTGACCGTATGCGTTGGATGACCTGTCTATAGTGATAATTTGACAGGGAGAAAAAACATGTTAGATCATGCATAAAATAATAACAAAAAATAAAATGATAATGATCTTCTGTTTTGGACCAAAAAATAAAATAAAATAAAATGATAGTGAAATTTCTTTACTCACCATCTCTGCCAGCCAGAGATAACATCTTGTCAGATCTTTCTTCTTGGCCTGACATGATATTGCCAACAGAATATCGGCGGCTTGGTTGAGGTTTAGGATGATCATGTGTACCTTTATATATTATCTCTGTGATCTGACCATCATGTGAGCGCTCAAAAAGCTTTTTAACTTCACAATTAGGATGTGTACATTTGTAATAACTTCTGGGAAATTCACTTCCTTTAACATGTTTCTGTCCATACTTTCTCCAGTTGTAACCATCATCAGATGACATTGAAGGGCCATTTCCTCTATTATCAGAATGAGACACCTGTATCCCAGTATGGGGGTGACCTGTCTGGTTTAATTCATCAAAATCAACTTCAGCAGGAGCACTAGAACCAGTAGTTAAGTGAACAGGTACCGAGAGACTCAAATCATTTGAGGAGCTTGCCATCTCACTTTTGACTGGTGCTGACTGACCTTGGATATGCAGAGACTGTTCACTTCTCTGATGACTCAGATCTGCAGGAGCCTTGAAATAAACAAAAACCTTTAGACAAGCATCCTTTCAATGACCAGAGTGTATAATGTCAAGAAGACTTTAAAAAAGGACCAGGCAAGAAGGTCTAGCAAAATTTCACATCTGTAAGGTTCTATAGTAGTAATTTTGTATCTACCTGGAGCTTGATTTATCCTTTTTCCTCTTTTTTTTTTTTTTTTTTTTTTGCCAAATTCTCACCTAATTTGGCGAGAAGAAATTTGTTCCTTTTAAGAAGCTCTCGGCCTATATTGGCAATGGAAAGCCATAGTGTGGAAGGTGAAGTGGGGAAGACAAGAAACTAATAATTTCCCAACATATTGGAGTGTGACAGCATACCCACCAATGGGCTCTTTCTTCTCCTTGTCACCCACAACTTTCTTCTTCTTCCCATTATTATGCTTGTACAAATTTGATACGTACTTTGTTTTTCTTGGGTCACCATCATCACCATATATACCTAGTTAGTTACTACCTCTATCTTGTTACCATTTGAGAGGCCCCCATCCAAAAAATTTGACTTTATTATATATTATTATTTCTTTTAGTACTTATCTTTTTAGCTTAATCTTTTGCTTTGACTTTACTCCAAATCCAAAATCAAATTCTTGATCATCATCTTAAACCGAAAGAAATGATCTGTAGTTTGAATTTCAAATTGTTTAAATGGTAGATGGCAAAAAAGGAAAAAAAAAAAAAAA